TTCGCCTAGTTTTAGTTTTAGTTTTAGATTTAGATTTAGATTTAGTAGTTCAAGTTGTGAAGGAGTTAGTTAGAGTTCTAGGTGTCAACACATGGATAGTTATAGAGCAGTTGGTATGCAACGCTTTTGTTTTTGTAGTTGGTTTCTGGATGTAAACTTTGCTGTATGTAATTGTTCGTACTGCTGCAACATTTATCTAAAAATAATACAATGTTTTATTTTTTATTTCTTTTTCTACACTTTCATTAAACTATTTACTCGTTTCAATGTCCTAAATATTCATTTCTTGTTCATCATTCGATTTATTTATTTATTTTTTTTTGTTTGATTAACAGTTATTGTTGTTTTGGACATTATTTGTTTGTTTAAATTTAATATAATTTTTATTTTAATTTTAATTATTTCTTGTTCGTTTGTTTATGTCTTTTTTTTTCATTTTTTTTAACAATTGCACTTTGTGCAGAAAAAGTTTGTTCGTTAAATGTTTGTTTCTAGTATGTATTTCGGTTGTAAAGTTGAAAGCTTTTCTTTGGGTGTTTCGGCTAAGGTACCAATTTGCTACAGGTTGTCTAAGTGGAAATTACTTTTGCACTATCTCTCTCGCTCTCTCATTCTATCATTCGGTTTGGTTCATGTTCTCGTCTCGGTCAGGCCAATAGGTCAAGGTTCAAGATTTGTTTGCTGTTGGAAGACTATAGCTAAATACATTTGTGTGTGTGTGTGTGTGGGTGTGTTTGCATATACCAGAGTAGTCTGTATGCCTATAGTAGTTAGATCGGTTTGGACTAAGATCTTAACAATCTGCTTGCTACATACAATCAATTATTTACAATCCATTTTAGTGTTTTTTTTTATCTTATGACTATATCTATAAAATACAACACATCCACATATACATATACATATACATATATATATATATATAGTATTTGATAAATATCGTAATTGTGTGTCTGCAAACATACATATATTGTATATCGTATGTCTGTATACATATCATATATACAGAATTTTCCTAATTTAATCATGAATAGAAGAACTAGAACTAGAACTAAGCATTTGATTTGCTTTCTCCTTTTGTTAATACTCAAATTTTGTTTTTTTTTTTTTTTTTTTTAATTTTTTTTTTTTTTTTTTTTTTTTTTTTTTTTT